GACCCAAAGAGCCAGTTGTTGAACAATTACCAGCATACCACTGTCTGTACTCTCCTTTTTTCATTTACGTTATCATTTTTTGAATGGCTGTATATTTGGTCATTTGTATATACCATAATTTAAACAATCTCCTATTATTGATCTATTTCTTTAGGATGCTATTTCTTGAAATAGAATTACTGAATCAAATGGAATACACATTTACATTTTTTATAAGTTTTACAAGATTGTGTACTAGTAAGGTTATACCAGTTTACCAACAATGAGGGTGTTTCCCAGTGCCCCATCCCACACTTATTTTTATATTTAGAATCTTCATATATACATTTAAAAAATTCTGTTTCTTTATTCTTAAAATTTTTTAATGGTTCTAAACCCAAAAGCTACAAAAGTGTATGGGAAAAGTCTCCCTTCTATCATCACCTGTATTTCCCGGCTTCCCAGTGCCTCTCAAGGGTAACTTGGAATTTTACAAGGAATTTGTATATCCTCTTTTCAGAGATGTTCATGCATGTATAAGCAAGCATATTCCTTTGCTCCCTCTTTTTTACTCGGTAGCTCCCATACACACTTCCCCCACCTTGCTCTTGTCATTTAATGATATATTTTGGAGATCAATACCAAACTAGAAAGGCTTCCTCAGTATCTTTTCTTGCCCTCATAGTATTCCATTGAGTGGATAAATCATATTGCTTCTAATATTTTACTGTTGGTATATGATATATGTACAATACTTGTATATACATCATTTCACATATATATGAATTATCTGTAGCATATATTTGTAAAATAATTGTTAATCAAAAGGTATAACTTTGACATTGCCAAATTGTCTTCTATAGAGGTTTATGAATTTACCTCTCCATCTCCAGTATATGAGAGTATTTGTCTGTACATTTGCTAATGCAATATATTGTCAGACTCTTGGATCTTACCTGTTTGATAGGTTAAAAATAGAGCCAGCATATAATTTAACTATGAATCTGAGCTCTAGATTTGTCTTTTGTTTTTCTTAAATTGTTCATATATTTTGCCTATTTTTCTTTAGGTCATGGGTTTTTATTTAGTTGTAGGAGTTTATTATTCATTAACAAAATTAGCCCTTTTATCTGCCATATAATTTGCAACAATTTTATATCAACTTTTTAATTGTCTTTTGGCTGTTGCTACAATAGTTATGGCCATGCAGAAATGTGGGGTTTTATGTAGCCACACTTGTCTCTTTTTAATAGCTTTTTTTGTTTGTTTGTTTTCAAGACGGAGTTTCACTCTGTCGCCCAGGCTGGAGTGCAGTGGCGTAATCTCACTGCAACCGCAGCTCCTGGGTTCAAGCGGTTCTCCTGCCTCAGCCTCCCAAATAACTGGGACTACAGGTGCATGTCACTACGCCCAGCTAATTTTTGTATTTTCAGTAGAGATAGGTTTTCACCATATTGGCCAGGCTGGTTTTGAACTCCTGACCTCATGATCCACTCGCCTGGGCCTCCCAAAGTGCTGGGATTACAGACATGAGCCACCACAACCAACCCTTGATGGCTTCTAAGTTTTGTGTCATTGTTAGAAAGTCACTCTTCACCTCTCTTCCCGATAGAAAAGCTTTCATCTAGAACTTTAAGTTTATGGTTTCTTTTTTGTTGTTAATTTTTTTCTTACATTTGAATTTTTGTTTTTATTTATTTACTTTAAGACAAGCTCTTACTCTGTCGCCCAGGCTGGAGTACAGTGGCACGATGAAGCCTCTGCCTCCTGGGTTCAAGTGAACCACCTGCCTCAGCCTCCATCAGTGCTGGGATTACAGGCATGAGCCACTGCACCCGGTCTGAATTTTCTCTTTTAGAAATTCATCTAGTTTTGAAATATCGTATGGCTTTGCCCCTGTTTTTTTCTAGAAGCCTGTCCAGAATCCATGTATTGAATAAACACATTTTTTCTGAATGGTTTGAAATATCACTTACTTTAATACTGCTTACATTAAATAGTGTTCTGTAATTACACAGTTTTAATTATTATAGCTTAATGATATATTTCTCTTCTCTTTCAGGACTTTCCTGTTTGTTCTTACTTGTTTTTCCATATAAACTTTAAAATCAGCTTGTCTTAATGCTCAAATAACTCTGGTATTTTTATTGGAATTTTGGGATTGTGTCAAATTCAATAACTAAATCAAGGAGAATCTGCATTCTTATGATAAATTCTAACTAAGAACATGTTTGAAGTGGGGTGTGTTTTATAACGTCTTCAAATAGATCACTCATTTTTCTTATTAAATTTATTCTTAGGTGTTTTGTCTCCTTTGTTATAGTTTGTATTTGTATGTTAAGGCTACCGTAATGAGATACAGACTGGGTAGCTGAAACAATAGAAACTAATTTGCTCACAGTTCTAGAGGCTGGAAGTCCAAGGTGAAGGTGCTGGCAGGGTTGGTTTCCTCTCAGGTCTCTCTCCTTGGCTTGTAGATGGGAACCTGCTTGCTGTGTCCTCATATGGTCTTTTGTCTGTGTGTACATACCCCTGGTGTCTTTATGTCCACATTTCCTCCTCATCTAAGGATACTAGTCATATTGGGTTAGGATCCATGCACATAACCTTGATTACCTCTTTGAAGTCCCCGCTTCCAAATACAATCACATTCTCAGGTACTGGGAGTTAGGGCTTCAACATATGAATTTGGATAGGGGAGACAATTTAGCCCATAACAATGGTAAATGAAGAATTTTCTTTCTTACAGCTACTAATTGATATTTATATGTATGAAAGTTATTTACGTATTTTATTTCATACCTAGCAACCCTGCTTATAATTTATAATAGCTTTTACTTTATTCTCTTAGTTTTTCCAGGTGTAAAATTACATTATTTATAAATAATGATCACATTGCCTCCTCCTTTCTAGTTTTTATAACCTTTATTTCTTTTATCTAATTGCAGTCTAGAGCTGTTGCAACTGGTTTACTAAGAGTGGTGGCAGTAGATACTCTTCTTGTATTCCATATTTTAATGAAAATATTTCTGGTGGCTTTTGGTATTTCCATTAAGCATGAAGTTTGCTTTTGGATTGAGATACATTGAAATACAGATACAGTGTCTTTAAGTACTTCACCATCATCTGTTTGTATTTTATTACAGTTTTTAATAATCAAGAATGAATACTTTTGTCAAATGCCTTTGTGGCATTTATGAAGATGATTATATGTTTTCCCTTTGATCTAATAATATATTGAATTTATAAATAAATTTACTAATGTTGAACCATCCTTGCATTCCCCTGTTTGGTCCTGGCATATTCTTTTAATTTGCTGTTAAATTCTGTTTGCATACAAATTCCTAAATGAGACATAAATAAATAATTTTCTTTCTTTATGGAGCCTTTGTTAAGTACAATTTTTTGCTTGCTTTATATAAATAATTTTAATAGTTTCCTTTTTCTGTGTTTTCAGACAATTTGAAATTATATGTTCTTGGCGGGGCGCAGTGGCTCATGCCTGTAACCCCAGCACTTTGGGAGGCCGAGATGGGTGGATCACGAGGTCAAGAGATCTAGACCATCCTGGTCAACATGGTGAAACCCCGTCTCTACTAAAAATACAAAAATTAGCTGGGCATGGTGGTGCACGCCTGTAGTCCCAGCTACTCGGGAGGCTGAGGCAGGAGAATTGCTTGAACCCAGTAGACAGAGGTTGCAGTGAGCTGAGATCACGCCATTGCGCTTCAGCCTGGGTAACAAAAGCGAAACTCCGTCTCAAAAAAAAAAATTATATGTTCTTTAATGGCTTATTAGAATTTTCCTGTGAAACTTTTAGGTCTAGTGCTTTCTGAGAGGAGGTAGCTCTTTGACAACTTTATTCTATAATTATCTGTTCAATTTTTTTTTTTTAATCTCCTCTGGCGTCAATTTTACGTTTTCCTATCATTTGTATCCATTGTTTTTTAAGTTTATTTGCCTGGAATTGAGCAAAGTAATCTTTTAAAGATTCTTTAATTTTTCTCTATTTGTATCTGTTTTAGTTTTTCTCTATTTATATCTGTTTTGTTATTATTTCTGTGTCTGTGTGTTCAGCTGTTTTCTTCCCTTTGTTGTTTTGATTAGACTAGAGTCTGGCCTATTGCTTTTTCAAATAACCAACTTTGGGTTTATTAGTTCTGTGACTTTTTTTTTTTTGTCTTATAAATGCTTTATTTCTTTTTTCTTTTTTTTCTTTCTTTCTTTTTTTTGGAGACAGAGTCCCACTTTGTCACTCAATGCTGGAGTGCCGTAGCGTGATCTTGACTCACTGCAATCTTCACCTCCCCGACTCAAGCAATTTACCTGTCTCAGCCTCCTAAGTACCTGGGACCACAGGTGCCTACCACCACGCCCAGCTAATTTTTGTATTTTTAGTAGAGAGAGCATTGTGTCATGTTGGCCAGGCTGGTTTTGAACTCCTGACCTCAGATGATCTGCCTGCCTCGGCCTCCCAAAGTGCTGGGATTATAGGCTTCAGTCACCACACCTGGCTCATTCTTCATTTTCTTTTTCTTAGATTTGCCTTTTTGATTGATACAGTTAATATTTGTAGTTAGTCATTCTGTTAATTTGATTTAAGGCTTCTTGTTCTGTAGAAGTTTTAAATTTTTAGTAGTCAAACCTGTCAGTTTTTCCTTCTATGGCATCTTATTTTCACATTACTCTTTTAAAAAGTCCATCTACATCACCACTGCCCCCACTGCTATTGTACATAAGATCTCCATTCTTTCCTAGTTTAGAAGATGGCTAATATCAGCCAAATATCTATCTTCTATCTATCTAGGTAGATAGATCTGGCTCAATGTATAAATTTATTGTCAAATTTTCAGGAGTGTATTTTTTCCACTTAACAAGAAAATAACCTATTAAACCTTACAAATGAAAACATCAAATTTGTAGAATTATTTTACTCTCACTTTATTTAAAAGATTTTATAGTGGTCTTTCATAGAAAGTTATTTTTATATATTTAAGATGTTTTTCTTTCTCCTCTTCTAGGTTACTCAAATGAGTCGTCCAGACTTGATTCTCTTTCTGATGAAATACCTGATGGCTCTCATAGTTGGCATTCCCTCTGTATTTTGGGTTGGAAGCAAAAAGACATGCTTTGAATGGGCCAGTTTTTTTCATGGTCGTAGAAAAAAAGAGTAAGTTGAAATAAATTATCATGATGTTCACAAGTCTCACATTTATGTAAATTTTTTTTTTTTTTGATTACGTGAAAATGACTTGGATTTGGAGAATTATTCAAACAAGACTATAACATTTTCAGCAATATCCAATTATGATTGGCACAGTAGCATGTCTTAATTTAAAAATAAAAACTTATTTTGAGAAGATGGCCAAGTAGTCCAGAAGATGAGCAAGCGTCCTGTACTAATTCAGAATATTTGAAGGAAGTCCAATCTTTATTAAAAGAATTCAAATTATAATTTTCTTAAAATTAAAAGAAAGTTAATGCTTTTCTCCACATTCTTACCTGATCTTCCTGATATTTCTTTGAAAGTTGGCATATATTCTCTTCTCTGTTTTACAAATGAGAAAATAAGGTAGAGGTTAAGTGCTTGGCCAAAGTCACACAGGTGTTTACTGCTAGGAGCTAGATTAACTGCTATCTCCAGTTGTCCATTGTTCTTCCAAGCATACCAAAAGTGATATAAAGAAATACTCTTATTCCATTCTAATATAGTACATGTTAAAGCCAAATAGAAAAATGTTATTAGTAGATAAATTGAAATGTGTTAGAGGTCAATTTAATTCATAGTTGGCCATACTGCATATTACAGTATCATTTGAGGGCATATTTAAGGAATCTTTTATGTTCTTGTACCTTAGTTGTAAAACAAAACAAAACCCTGCAGTTTTCACAGTGGAACAAACTTTTTACTCAGTTATTCTAAGTTAGTGGAGTCTATATTTCTTTTCTTTTCTTTTCTTTTCTTTTCTTTTCTTTTCTTTTTCTTTTTCTTTTTCTTTTCTTTTTCTTTTTCTTTTTCTTTCTTTTCTTTTCTTCAGAGTCTCACTCTATCGCCCAGGCTGGAGTCCAGTGGCTCAATCTCGGCTCACTGCAACCTCTCCCACCCTGGTTCAAGCCATTCTCCTGTCTCAGCCTCCCAAGTAGCTGGGATTACAGGCTCCTGTCACCATGCCCAGCTAATTTTTGTATTTTTAGTAGAGAAGAGTTTCACCATTTTGGCCAGGCTGGCTTGAACTCCTGATCTCGTGATCCACCCTCGGCCTTCCAAAGTGCTGGGATTACAGGCGTGAGCCACCCACTGCATCTAGTTGGATTCTATATTTATTATGATTTTACTTAACCTAGGCTCCATGGAAGAATGATTTTTTGGGGGGTAGTCTGTAAATATTTTTAAATTATATGTAGAATGTGCCTTGTATTGGTTAATGTAGTTTTCTTATATGATACAATTTGAAGTTACTTTAGTTTCTGCCTCACTAATAAAGTTTGTATTTACTGAAATACCAGTAATTAGCAAATTATATTAACAGAGATAAGATAATCACAGTTTAATATACAGTCAGCCTTTTGTATCTGGGGGTTCCAGATCAGTGGATTCAACCAACAATGGATCAAAAATATTTGGGAAAAAAAATTCCAAGAAAATTCCAAAAAGCAAAATTTGAATTTGCTGCATGCTGAGCACTACACTGAATCTATGCAAATAAAGTGATGTATCAAGATCCTACTCTCTTAGAGTTTCTTCCATTGTGGGATTTACTCTAAGTTGTTTGCGTATTCTTTGGGAGACTTTATTGTAATCACAGTAAAATAAAATGCTGAGGAAAGGACTTGAATTAAATGTTCCTGGACACCTCTGGACCATATATAAATAATTCTGTAATAGAGTTGCATTAGAAATTCCAAAAGAGCTAAACCCAAGCTTTCCTTATAGAGATTTATACTAGTTAGTTTGGTGGGGATACTGGTTGGGCGAAAATCCTTTTGAAACTGGTTAAAACTCTCAGGGCCCCTTCCATTTGGTTTTCTGCAGCTGTGGATTCCCAACCAACAGCCATTGTGATCTTCCAAGCCAGGATGTGCTCTGGGCTGGAGTGGCAGCCCGTTATTCTGGAGTTCAAGAATATGGGCACCCTTTGGCTATTTCTAGCATTTGTCTGGTTAGCCTTTGAAAAACAACTATAAGATAATCATAATAATGGGTATCAATTTATTGGGCACATTTAATACTCAAAGCACTAAGTACTTCACACATTAAATCCTTTAATGCTCTAAACACTCTTGTGAGGGAGGACATCATTTTACAGATAAGGAAACTGGGGCATAGAACCAAGATTTCGGGCCGGGCACGGTGGCTCAAACCTGTAATCCCAGCACTTTGGGAGGCCGAGGCGGGTGGATCACGAGGTCAAGAGATAGAGACCATCCTGGTCAACATGGTGAAACCCCGTCTCTACTAAAAATACAAAACATTAGCTGGGCATGGTGGCGCATGCCTGTAATCCCAGCTACTCAGGAGGCTGAGGCAGGAGAATTGCCTGAACCCAGGAGGCGGAGGTTGCGGTGAGCCGTGATCGCGCCATTGCACTCCAGCCTGGGTAACAAGAGTGAAACTCCGTCTCAAAAAAAAAAAAAGAACCAAGATTTCATAACAAGTGATTGCTAATATATAGATTCAAACCCAAACAGTCTGACTCCAGAGCTTTGTTCTTAACTGCTTTGTTACACTATGCTGTAGACTGGCTTCTAACATTGTGCTACTCGAATTAATGTTCTCTCCTTAAGTGAGGCCAAATTTAAGACCATGCTTATGCTAATAATTCTGATATAGATTTAAATATTTTTAGAAATCCTCTTTTGAATTACCTGGGTCATTTCACCTTATCTCTCTGGACATTATCTGTAAAATGAGGGGACAAACCTTCACTGTTTGAAGGTGAATTAAATTTTTAAAATCACTAGAAGCTTGTTTGAACCCAGTTTAGAAAATAAAGTCAGCAACCAAGAATGACTTGGTGGAATGTATGAATCCAGATTTTATTTATTTATTTTTACTTTTTTTGACTTGTTCTTTTTTCTGTCATGTTTTTGACACTTTGTTTTCCAGATATATGTAAATACTGTTTTATCATTACCTTGTGATTAGCCCCTAAGACTTTAAACTTAAGTTTGATCGTTGACTGCTGGTTTCGTTGTGTGATTTTTTGAAAGTTCTTTAATCTCTTGGAACTTTACTTTCTTTGTCTGTGAAATGGGAATTACAATATCTATTATTAATAGATACCCAACGTTCCCTTAGAAATATACTCTTAGAACATGAATCTCTATAATTATGACATTATTAAGAGGATCAAAGGAGAATGTTTATAAAGTACTCAATAAATACTAGTCTTCCTTTAGCCTTTCTACCCCAAGGTGAAAACAACGGCAATAATCCTTTTGTAATTTGATAATTTATAATATATGTAATTTCTCAATATATGATCTAGTCTTTATATGTTGGAGTTTTAGTTTTGAAATGAGGTTGATTATCCAATTTTAACTTCATGATTCTTGTAGTAAGTCCTTTACTTATATAAACCAAGACATTAACCTTTACAACTGTGTAATTAGCTCTTATATTAATTTAATTACTGCTTTGTTCATTATCATAAGCCATCTACTTAATCCTTTGATAATAGTTAAAAATTTTTGTTCTTGAGAATAATTCTTTGCCTAAACGTTTCTCTTTAAGCTTCTACTATGTCTGAGACTTAATTTTAACTTTAATTTTTCATTTTATTTGTTTTAATTATGACCTCTCATGTTTATTCCAGCACTAGACAGCTGCTTCTGTGTAAAATCAACTCATAGCCTAAAACAACTGCTCTTACAACTTAAAAAAAATGTTGTATTCATTCTATAGTGAAGCCTCTACTACGTATATAAACCATGCAAGAAAACAGTTTTTCTGTTTTAGAGTTGTATCTTCATAATATTTCAGTGTCTTAAGAATGACAAATTTCTTTAGCTGAAAGGGACCTTTTAGAAATGATGAAATTGTATACCTTCATTTTGTGGAAGAAGAAATGAAAAAAAGAGGAGGTAGTGACATGCTTAAGATCACATTTTTATTGAAAAAGTTGGAAGTAAAATCCTGATTTCCTTACTCTAACACATGATGTTTTCCATCATACCGTCTTAGGGGACAGATTGACAGGGATTGTTATATTCTTTACTCTGTCAATAATGTTTCTTCATATCAGTCCTATAGCTCTAATTTGGCAAGCAATTAATTTCAAGAACACTATCAGTGTTGCAGAGAAGTATTGCTTATTGGTCTGTAGGAAGGTTGGTATGTATCTTAAACTTACTGTTTTGTTGTCTAGGATAGTGAATGAGAGCCGACAAGTACTCCAGGAACCTGATTTTGCTCAGTCTCTCCTGAGAGATCCAAATACTCCTATCATAAGAAAGTCAAGGGGAACTTCCACTCAAGGAACATCCACCCATGCTTCTTCAACTCAGCTGGCTATGGTGGATGATCAAAGAAGCAAAGCAGGGAGCATCCACAGCAAAGTGAGCAGCTACCACGGCAGCCTCCACAGATCACGTGATGGCAGGTGAGTTTTGTTAGTAGCATAGTTTATTCCATAAGCTAAATTACGGTCATCAGCTTAAGAAAGAAGAGCAGCCAATTTTGAAATAGAAGTTGAACATAATTAAGACTTTGAACTTTGCTATTGAGTTCACTCAGTAGCAAGCAAAAAAATTTAACTTCTAGGCATTTATTCATTCTTTGAAAGTCTTGTTGAATGCTTACTATGTGCCACCAACTATTTTTTGATACCAGTGATTCAATAGCAGACAAAACAGGCCAAGACTGTGATCTCTTAGAGTTTCCTGCCTTGTGGGATTTACTCTGATTTATTTGTGTATTCTTTGGGAAACTTTATTGTAATCACAGTAAAACATGATGCTGAGGAAAAGACTTGAATTAAACATTCCTGGACACCTCTGGACCATATATAAATAATTCTGTAATAGAGTTGCATTAGAAATTCCAGATAGAGCTAAACCCAAGCTTTCCTTATAGAGCATGTGTTTTCTTATAGTCCATGTGTTCTGATTGTTGTCCCAGACTGTGGTCAGACTTAAAGTCAGTTAGAATTGTTTGGAGTTTAGATTTGATGCAGTAAGTAATATGGGAATTATTGCTTATAATATAACATATATTATGGGGATTGAGCAGGGAGAAGACAGGATGAAAGTGATTATTTTAGTAAGATTAATTTAGTAAACAGTTATGAAATACCTACTACATCTGGCACTATGCTAGGCTCTGAGAATACAAAGATGACTTAGACACGATCTTTGCTCTTAATAAGCTCACAGTCTATTTAGAAAAACAGTAGGCCGGGCGCAGTGGCACAAGCCTGTAATCCCAGCACTTTGGGAGGCCGAGGCGGGTGGATCACGAGGTCAAGAGATCGAGACCATCCTGGTCAACATGGTGAAACCCCGTCTCTACTAAAAATACAAAACATTAGCTGGGCATGGTGGCGCATGCCTGTAATCCCAGCTACTCAGGAGGTTGAGGCAGGAGAATTGCCTGAACCCAGGAGGCGGAGGTTGCGGTGAGCCGAGATCGCGCCATTGCACTCCAGCCTGGGTAACAAGAGCGAAACTCCGTCTCAAAAAAAAAAAAAAAAGAAAAACAGTGTAGTCAGGGTTATGGTTTAGAACATGAATGTGGAATGATAAGCCTCAGTTTCCTTACCTATAAAATAAATATAGTAGTAATATGTGCCTCTTTAATAATATTGTACAAATTAAATGAGATAGTGTACCTAATATCTTGGAACAATGTCTGTCTCAGTAAGTACCTCATATCAGCTTCTTTTATTATTGTAATTAACAATTAAAATAACATATGATAGTATAGTTCAGGGGTTGGCAAACATTTTCCGTAAGGAACCAGATAGTAAATATTGTAGGCCTTATGAGTCATATGGTCTCCATTGCAACTATTCAGGTCTGCTGTTGTAGCATAAAAGCAGTCATAGACAATATGTAGTCAAATAGAAATAACTGCTTTCCAATAAAACTATTTCCAAAAATAGGATTTGGCCAACAGGCCTTGCCAACCCCTGTTTACTAGGTACAGTAGTAGCATAGAGGAGGGAGTGATTAATTCTAGTAGCTGAGGAGGGAGTTGATTTCACAGAGAAAATGTGTGAAAGAAACCTGACTGTGGGTTTATTGTTAAATTTGAGAAATGTGACACTACAGTTAGAAGCTGCCTAGGAGCTTTTCAGTAATTCAGTTGAGAGATGATAAAAGCTTATTGGAGAATGGTGGCAGTGGGAAGAGAGGTAGAGCTGAACTGAAAGATATTTAGAAAGAAGGAAGGATAGAGATTGTTAATAAATTGGTATTAGCAGCTGGAGAAAAGGAATGTGCTAAGGATTTTTTTGGGTATATATTTTTTTTAATTTCTAGTTTGGGAAACTGAAAGAATAAAAATTATAATAACCTGAAAGTAGCAGGATTCTGTGTTCTCTTGACAACATCTCTGTTTCCACAGCTGTTTTTATCCTGTCAGTCTCAGTCCTCCTAGTGTAGAATGTGATCCTGTACTCTGTGATCCCTGTGCTGCTAGTGTAGAATGTGATTCCTGTACTCTGTACTTTTTATTTTTTAAGTTCTGGCGTACATGTACAGATCGTGCAGGATTGTTAGATATATATATACATGCCATGGTAGTTTGCTGCCTCCATTCCCCCATCACCTACATTAGGTATTTCTCCTAATGTTATCCCTCCCCAATCCCCCACACCCTGCTATCCCTCCCCTAGTCCCCACCCACCAACAGACCCTGGTTTGTGATGTTCCCCTCCCTGTGTCCATGTGTTCTCATTGTTCAACACCCACTTATGAGTGAGAACATGGCGGTGTCTGGTTTTCTCTTCTTGTGTCAGTTTGCTGAGAATGATGGTTTCTAGCTTCATCCATGTCCCTGCAAAGGACATGAACTCATCATTTTTATGGCTGCATAGTATTCCATGGTGTATATGTTCCACATTTTCTTTGTCCATTCTATCATTGATGGGCATTTGGGTTGGTTCCAAGTCTTTGCTATTGTAAACAGTGCCACAGTGAACATACATGTGCATGTGTCTTTATAGTAGAATGATTTATAATCCTTTGGGTATATGCCCAGTAATGGGATTGCTGGGTCAAATGGTATTTCTATTTCTAGGTCCTTGAGGAATCACCACACTGTCTTTCATAATGGTTGTACTAATTTATACTCCCACCAATAGTGTAAAAGTGTTTCTATTTCTCCACATCCTCTCCAGCATCTGTTGTCTCCAGATATTTTAATGATCACCATTCTCACTGGCGTGAGATGGTATCTCAATGTGGTTTTGATTTGCATTTCTCTAATGACCAGTGATGATGAGCTCTTTCATGTTTGTTGGCTGCATAAATGTCTCCTTTAGAAAAGTGTCTGTTCATATTCTTTTCCCCCTTTTGATGATGGGGTTGTTTTTTTCTTGTAAATTTGTTTAAGTTCTTTGTAGATTCTGGATGTTAGCCCTTTGTCAGATGGGTAGGTTACAAAAATTTTTTCCCATTCTGTTGGTTGCTGGTTCGCTCTAATGCTTGTTTCTTTTGCTGTGCAGAGGCTCCTAAGTTTAATTAGATCCCATTTTTCTATTTTGGCTTTTGTTGCCATTGCCTTTGGTGTTTTAGTCATGAAGTCCTTTCCTATGCCTGTGTCCTGAATGCCTAGGTTTTCTTCTAGGGTTTTTATGGAGTTAGGTCTTATGTTTAAATCTTAAATCCATCTGGAGTTAATTTTTGTATAACGTGTAAGAAAGAGGTCCAGTTTCAGCTTTCTGCACATAGCTAGCCAGTTTTCCCAACACCATTTATTAAATAGGGAATCCTTTCCCCATTGCTTGTTTTTGTCAGGTTTGTCAAAGATCAGATGGTTGTAGATGTGTGGCATTACTTCCAAGGCCTCTGTTCTCTTCCATTGGTCTATATCTCTGTTTTGGTACCAGTACCGTGCTGTTTTGATTACTGTAGCCTTCTAGTATAATTTGAAGTCAGGTAGTGTGATGCCTCCAGCTTTGTGGGATTTTGTTTGTTTGTTTGTTTTTGTTTTGCTTAAGATTGTCTTGGCTATGCAGGCTCTTTTTTGGTTCCTTATGAAGTTTAAGGTGGTTTTTTTCCAGTTGTCTGAAGAAGGTCAGTGGTAGCTTGACGAGGATAGCAATGAATCTATAAATTACTTTGGGTGATATGGCCATTTTCACAATATTGGTTCTTCCTAACCATGAGCATAGAATGATTTTCCATCTGTTTGTGTCCTCTCTTATTTCCTTGAGAAACTGTGAGATGGGGTTTCACTCTTGTTGCCCAGGCTGGAATGCAATGGCGTGACCTCAGCTCACTGCCACCTCCGCCTCCTGGGTTCAAGCAATTCTCCTGCCTCAGCCTCCCATGTAGCTGGGATTATAGGTGCCTGCCACACGCCTGGCTAATTTTTTTGTATTTTTAGTAGAGATGGAGTTTCAGCGTATTGGTCAGGCTGGTCTCGAACTCCTGACCTCAGATGATCCACCCACCTCGGCCTCCCAAAAGTGCTGGAATTACAGGTGTGAGCCACCACGCCCGGCCTATTTTAATCTTCTGTTTTTTCCTCTCAACTTGTTTTCTTTCACCTTTTATTGGTCACCTACCCTGTGTTTAAAAGAGCAGGTGTCTTTCTTTGATGCTGATATATCTTTTATCCATTTCCTTTTTCTTTCCTGGCTAGATTTTTAAAATGAATATTTTCCTTTTCCCTGATCCATTCTTCATCCCTTGTAACTTTAGTCTTTTTCTCTTCTCTACCTGCCTGAACCGTACCCTCTAACATCACCAGTGACCTAATTTTAACCACAGGGATCTTTTCTCCTTCCTTCCTTTTTTCGTTCCACTTAGTACTCCTGTATGAGAAGCATTCTTCTAAGTGCTAGCGATGCAGAGACAGAAGACAGAAGAGTAAACAATCAATTACAATACACTTCAGTAGGTATAGTAAAAATATGTACAGGGTGCATTGGGATCTTAGAGAAGAAAACCATTTACTACATCACAGGAAGTGAAAGCTGTGCAAAAGAGATGGCACTTCTACATTGAATAGGATTCAGAGGAGGCAGTTGGGAGTTAAAGACAAGGAAACAGCACATGCAGAGGCAAAGAAGACACACAGGCAGTTAGGTACATGGGTATGGCTAGAGTATAGATTGCATGTTCCGGCAACTGAGGGCGAGGAATTCATACTGAGGAGCTTGCATTTTTCCCTGACAGCAGTAAGAAGCTATCCTAGGTCTTTGGGCATTGGGGTGAGAAAATCAGATTAGTATTTTAGAAAAATCACTTGGCAATAGCATCTTAATGAGGGAGATTATAAGTAAGGCTAGTTAGAAAGTTTCTACAGTAATTTAGGGGTTCCCAGCTGAAGATAACTGATAAGGAGGGAGGGAATTAGAGTTGTTTTTTTTGTTTGTTTTGTTTTTTTTCGGACTTAGAGTTCTTTTAGAATATATTTATCAGTCACCATCCT